TGCCGTAGTAGGTAGCTAATGGGAAACGGTCAAGGTCGGTCAAACTAAGCCCTGGCAAGATTGTGTGAAAGCCCTAATCAGGAGACAGGAGTACATAGGTCCCGTTAATCTTTCGGGAACATTGTAACCTATGGTTGGAAAAACGATTTGATATGACCGATTGTGGTAAACGGTGACACCCGTGCATCCATTCATTAGCTCTGCAACCTTCGGCCGTATGAGTTCTTTATTTTTCCTTCGACTGTGTTCTCAACATTGCAAGCTTCCTTCTGCTCTTTTATGGAGATGGAAAGCCACGTGATAGCAACCGAAACCACTGCACAAATGTGCATGATGCGTCGTCGTCGTTGTTATTGTGCTAGTTCTAGATGTACGATTGACAGGAGCGCGTGCTGTTTAAACTCCAACAACAACACCCAGAGAGAACGAGACTCTAGAGAACAGTCAGAGTGTATTTGATGATTAAGGTTTGATACGGAAATATATAGAGTAAATCAAACATACATGAACGGTATAGTGACACTAATCAGATTGCGTCCTTGACATTCGATTGGGCGATCGTACAACCGATGACTGATTCGTTGTACAAACATCCAATCCGGACTCATCCTGCCTAGAGCGTTACGAGCGCGCGTATTGCTGAACGCGGATGCAAGCGCCACCTGACGGGTTATTTAAACTCCGACCTAACAGTTATAAATACTGAGGTAAACTGTACAAGTGCTCCATTTCTCAAAGAACAGGTTTAAAGTACATTTCCATCGATGAATTCAAAGGTCTCGCGAATTTCTAAGAACGCAATACTGAAAGAAATACCAGTAACGAACAAGCCCCTAGATAAATCATCGTAAACGAGCTTGTTCTCTACTGTATTTTCTCCCCTTACAATGTCTAGTGACAGTATATTCGGACAACAATGAGGCCGAACCAGATCGAAATTACTGTCCAATGTGTCTCTTAGTTTTTCAGTTCACGATTCATGTACTCCGTACATGACAATATTCACTTTGAAAATCAATGAATCTGTCGGGGTAACCGTTTCGTAGCAACTTTTTCTTCAGGAATTTTTCAACTTCACGTAGTGTGTCTGGGGAACAAATGTTTCTGGCTCAATGGAACAGAATTTTACGTGTCCACGTTTGTGATCCATGAGTGAGACAGTTATTCAAACGAAATGAAAGAAATACTAATGGACGAAAGCCAGTTCCAAATAGATAAGACACCGGACAACAACCACCTCACTGAAAGCCTTATCGCAAGGAAATTACATATTCTGTTACTACATGACTGCATATCCGAAACACAGTATAAACAACTGAAGCCAATGGGGACAGACCTACCATAAGTGAGAGGCTCACCTAAAGTTCATAAACCCGGGATTCCTGTTAGATCAATTTTGTGTATGCAAACTCGCTCGATGGTTGATGGAACTTCCAAATCCCGTTCGTAAGTCCTTAACACCCCATTATTGAAAGTATTATTTCGAACTTTCAAAATGCTTAGAAAATTTGACAACATTTTTACAGCGGATGTATTCGATAGATATGGATACCGTTTTCATCAATGTTCTGCCCCATGAAACAGTTGATTTTTTCTGTGATTATATTTCTTCAGGTAATTTTTGCCTTGCTTTCCCTGCTGAATATATTTGAGAGAACTAATATTTTTATGTACCGAAAATATTCATTTTGAATTCGAAGAAACCACATACAAACAGATTGATGGTGTATCCATCGGCAGTCCATTAGGCCCAATTCTAGCCGATGTATTTTTAGGAATGATGAAATAAAATCTTGCCAATAATATCTCCCAGTCCACCTTGTACAGACGTTATGTGGACGATATTTTTATTCTTACGGAGCGTGAACATTTTGAATCCCTTTTGGGATAATTTAACTTTATTCATCCATATCTTTCCTGATCTCACGAAGAAGAAATCAACGATTCTTTAGCATTTTTGGATATGGGAATTACGATGCCCGTAGATGGTACATCACAGCGTTCTATCCACAGAAAAGCAGCACGAAATGATCAGCATTTATAGTTCTCTAGCTTTTCACCCATGGCTTACAAACACGGACTCGTAAAAACTCTGTTCTATTGAGCCAGAAACATTTGTTCCCCAGACACACTACGTGAAGAAGAAGAATTTCTGAAGAAAACGTTGCTACGAAACGGTTACCCCGAAAAATTCATTGATAGTCATAGTAAACAATCTCAAAAAGTTAACTCATCGCCAACCGTTCCCCAGAAATCCGTTGACATCAAAATTCACTACGTCATCAAAGTAAATCTTCCCCTACTCTCACGAACACAATAACTGGAATGAAGCGTACTGAAGCTTGTTCAAATCGCCCCTCTCAGAAGTATCATGCTGTTTAACGTTAGAGGACATTGTTTGGTCGATAATCGACCGAATCAATATCACATATATGTATAGCTCATATTGAACTCAGATCTGCTCAACCCCGTCATCTCAAAAAAGAGGAAGGAGAGTAAATTTTACACCGGAAACTTCTCTCCACTATAAACCATGTTGGAATATTTGTTGGCCTGGCTAAACCGATCAGATCACGTGACTACGGAAGATGTAAAGACGAGATAAATAGGGAGAGTGAGAACAATTGGACAACAAGAGTGAGGATGAGCGGAATCAATCTGTTATCATCCATCCTCATTCAGAGAATTTTAAATTGCAAAAATATATATAGTTTGCAAGCAGAGACCGGGTTGGCCAGTTTACTTCAGCCCACGTCGTGATATATTCATCTACATATGCGTCTGTGCGGGTAACTGCGTTCGCCCCGGATAGATAGATCATGGACCGTTTCGATTCGGGAACGGGAAGTGTTTTTCTTTTCGCTCCCTCCCTCTCTCTCTCTCGTTCAGGAGTGATTGCCCAATCGAACGCGACCTCCGGTGTACAGCATATGCCCCAGTGGTTCCAATCCCTGACCGATTAGATGAGACGTACCGTACTCGGTAGTTGGAGCCTGCATCAAAGTGGTCGTGTTTTGATTGTTCAAATTTGGAAGCCAAAGCCGTCGAGGTGATTGAAAACCGTTGTCCGCGTCCAGTCCATTCGTGGGTGCCATAATGAGTTTGGAAGATAACGAGGGTATATAACCTAGTCCTAATTTAAGCGGATCAGCACTGTGACCACGTCGACGATTGCCTAAACGCGGACAGGAAATTTGTGTACTGTTTGACCAATTGGAGGCCTGCAATGGTCCGAGTGACCTTGAAAGAAAAACAAACAAACAAACAGTGGCTTGAATTTGAATTGATTTGTGCAAAACTCCATTCGACATCAGAGATTAGGTAGTGAGGTGTGATACTAAAACTCGTAAACTGTAACATCAGGAAAAATAAAATCATACGGAGAAATGAAAATAGATGAATTTCAGTTTTCCTGTTTTGATTTTCGATGTCTTTTTTCAGAGATTCATTTTCAACACTAAATTTTCTGTATCACCATTGTACGTCCCCGAAAACTTGTTTTGTGAAAAACAAAAGAAATTAGAATTCAAGTTATGAAAAACCCTTCACAGTCCCGTGTTGAAATCGTTATTCTTTTTCTTGGTTCCTCAACAATTTTCGCATTTATGCGTCAATCCCCTTTTTCGATTATCATTGTTGTCGCGTTTATATATATATATATATATATATATATATATATATATATA